GTGTCTTCTCATTTTGACCGGGGGGTGGGGGGCCAGGGTGGGTGTGTGCTGTTGGTGCCCACATGGCTCACCTCCTCTGCACTGGGAGCAGTGGCAACCTGGAAGCCCCTTCCTCTGTGCTGGGAGCAGTGGTACAGCAGCCCCTCTAATATTTTAGTTTTCCCACGTTTTTATGGTCAACATTTGTAGTATTTTCTTTTATATAATAAATGTACAAGTGGTTTAGATTTGTCCACATTTCTCTACTTCTTTGTTCATCGTGGTTTTAAAGTTTTATTAAGATGTAGCTCATGTAGAATATGCACTTGAAGTGTAAAATTCATTTTTCCTACATTGCAACCATCATATTTAGAGCATTTTCATTTCCCCCAGAGTACCACAATACCCACTAACAATCACTTCCATTCCTTGCCAACCCCCTCCCCTGTGCAACCACTAATCTATTTCCAGTCCAGATTTGCGTGTTCTGTGCATTTCTTATAAACAGTCATACTATGTGTGACCTTTGTGATTTGTGTCTTTCACTTACCATGTTTTAAGACTTATCTTTTATTTATTTATTTCTGGCAGTGCTAGGATCAGACCCAGTGCCATGTATATGACAGGCAAGTGCTCTACCAACTGAACTATGTGTATCAGCAGCCCAAGATGCATCTATGTTGTAGCATATATCAGAGCACCATTCCTTTTTATGGCTGAATAATATTCCACTGAGTGGATCGATATACTGTACTTCATTTGTCCGTTCACCAGTGGTGAGCAGTTGGGCTCCCACTTTCTGGCTATTGAGAATAATGAATGCTGTTATATTATATGTGTACAGATTTTTATGTGAATAGATATTTTCATCTTATGGGACTATACCTAAGAGTGGGGTTGCTGGTTCAAGTGCTAACTCTGGTTTTGAGAATCTGCTGAACTATTTTTCAGAGTAGCCAGATCCTTTTACACCCCAGCGAGGGTGAGGGGTCAGATTTCTCCGCATTTTCGCTAGCAGTGTGGCCCACTTTTGATACAGCCATCCTACAGATGTGCAGTGGCACGTCATTGGCTAGTATGTGTATTTCTTGGTTCTTGCCACATCTTGCTTATTACCCTTAGATCCTTCTTCCTTCTTTCTAGTGAGTGTTTCTTTCTTCCTAATTGTGTTACTTAACTGGTAAACTCTTTCAATCTTTGTTTAGAATCATGTTTTAACCTTGACATTTAAATTATAGTTTATATCAGTACAGAATTCCATGTTGCACTTTTTTTTTTTACTTTTATTTGGGGATAATATTTATTTGGGATAGCTTTCAGTATCTTTTCAATTTTTCTTATTAGCACATATTTGGACTAAATGAGTACATTCATCATGGGGTACATGTATGTAATTTATCTTTTTTTTATTCTCCTTTTGTTTTTAGATATCCCACCAACCTTCTTGCTTCTTTCATTGACAATGAAAAATTTTCTTAGTGTAATCTGTGATCTTTTGGCTTTTCTCTAGCTGTAGTTTAGTTCTTTTGTCTTTGATGTTCTCCAGTTTTGCTATAATACATCTTGATGTGGATTTTTGTATTTCTAGATCAAGTATTTGTTTCCTGAATCTGAGGATTTATGGCTTTCATAGTTGGCCATTTTCTTTCAGAATTTTGCTTACTCTTCATTCTTTAGTTTTTCATTTTAGAACAGGTAAACAGATGCACAGCCAATGTTTCCATTCACCTCTCCATTCTCTACTTGTTTCTTGGAGCTAATTCTGGCTAACTTTCTCCTATCTACTGTTTACTGTTTGATAGATCAGATTTTCAAAGAAAATCAATGACTTTATTTCTGGAAATTCTATCCATCTCTCCTAATTTACTTGCTTTTTTTGGCATAGTTTATTATTCTCCTGTTTCAATTCCTTCATATTCTCCACAGTCAGCAGAATACCATTTCAGGAGTTACTACTCTTTTTCAATTCTCATTTCTTTTTTTTTTTTTTGGTACTGGGGATCGAACTCGGGACCTCGTGCCTGCAAGGCAGGTGGTGGAACCACTGAGCTAAATCCCTGGCCCTTCAATTCTCATTTCATTCCAAAACCTGGAGTTTGCTTTTTTAAATAAACAAACTATGCTTTGAAAAACCTGTTTGGGGCATAGTTTATCAGTTATCTCTAAATATGTGAGTTGAGGGGCTTTTAGAATTTTTTATCATTTTTCCAATAAATTTTTGTCTTGAATTAGAACCTGTCTCCCTGGACAGGGCCTCAGCCTGTAGGCGGCTCCGGAGGACTGGGAGTCGTCTCCTTCCACCGGTTTTGGCACAGGACAGGCACGCAGTGTGGGCACAGGAGGACCCGCTCGGTCTCCTCCACCAGCGTCCAGGGTCTGGACGCCACTGTTCGAGAAACAGAAAGTTTTCATTCTGTTTCCCAAAAGACAACTCAACAGCAAAAAGGAAACATAGGCTTTTCTATTTTTTTGCCAAGGAAAAGTTTATTTAAACTGTGCAATCAATCAGTATTTAGACAGCAGTTTCACAAATATTTTGGCATTTAAGCTTTATTCATTTTTGGCATGACCCGTAGGATAGAATACAAACTATCCCAGGGAGGGGGAAATACTAAGAAATATTTACTATGATGCAAGAAAAAGAAACAAACCCACATTATTAAGCAAAGCTACGTTTTCAGAAGACATTTAGAAAGTACATTCAAAATCAAGGCAAACATTTGCTTTCTTCATGCGATGGAGTCCACGGAGCTGATCCCCTGAGTATGAAGTTAGTGTAGCTCAGCTCCACAGCCCACTCGCAAGTCTGCAAACACCGCCCTTGCAAGAACATGGTACAGAGTGCCAGGACCCAGAACACCCACAGTACAAAATAACTTAACTGGCTCCCACACTTTCATCAAATTCACGTCTTTGAAGAAAGTAGAAAAAAATCCTACACACAGACATAAAATTTTGTCCAACAACAGCAACAAACAAACTTTCTTAATACACATCCTCTCTTCCACTGATGGCTAAGGCAATGCGTGTGTTCAGGCTCTGTAACTCCCTGTTGCCGCTCCAGATGCTAATCATCAGAAATAGTTTTCATTTGTAAACAAAAGAGAATCCAGAATGTGGAAGCAGGAAGCAATATAATTTAAGGCAAAATTAAAAAGAATTTTTTGGGAGGTACCGGGGATCGAACTCTGGACCTTGCACTTGTGAGGCAGGTGATGGCACCACTGAGCTAAATCCCCGGCCCTTAAAAATATTTTTGAGATTTTAAAAGATGGTTCCATAGAAAAATAAATGTCTGTAACATAAATTTTAAAAATAAAAATTGTAAGTCAAGACTGTATCTATATACCATGAAGTACTTACAAGATTTACAAGATGTAAACTTGTAAATCTGTCAAGCTTTCAGAATCTTATGGATTATAGTGAGAGTGATACTGGATGGTACCAAAAAAGTTAGGGAAAATAGTTCCTTTCTCCTAAGAAAAAGATGACAATCATATCATTTTTTCCAATGAGCCTTAAATGTAGACGTGAATAAATCAGAAGCAGGTGGCATTCTCCATTGCTCTACATAAAATCCATTCATCCTGAATAGTTTTCAAAAAGTCATATTGTTCCATAATCTTGAAAAAGTAGACCTGTTAGAAAAGAATCCTAAACATGTACTTTTTAATTCTTTAGAAGTCAAGATATCAAAGTGAAAGCCTAAACTGGAATAAGATGATTTCAAAGTTAGTACTCTGAGAAGTACAATTGGTTCCTGTCTTCTCTGTGGACTTAGCCACGATGCAGACGAGTACTTGAACCCGGCCCACATCTCTGACTAACCACTTTCTTGTACTGATTGTTGTTTTGCTTGTAAAGGAGATACAAACATTTCTTCATCTCAACACAAGAAAAGGTAACTGGAAATGCTGACTTACAAAGGAAAAAAAATCTGTAAAATAAGTTTCACAGCCTCCCAGAAGTGACTTCTGGATTATAATTATCTACACGTGAATTTTCTTTTACGTTTTCAAAGAGCTACTGCTTCATTCTTACCCTCATTTCATGGGTAAGGAAGGAAAATAGGTTAGGAACTTTCCCACCAAACATTTCTTTTAAGGGCTGGATGCACTTAAAAGCTGCTGATCTGTGTGCAGCCCTGGGTTCAATCCCCAGCACAGCATCCCGCAGCAAAAACAAACAAAACGCCAGGATTTAGGAGTTCCAAGGCCTAATGTTATATCTGCTCCTCTTAAATTAGTGTGAATAATTAGTTAGGATAAAATAACAGTGGATAATTAGTTAATATAAAAATTATTGGTAGTCAGACGTAGAGGCATACGCCTGTAATTCCAGCACTTGGGAGGCTGAGGCAGGAGGATCACCGTGAGGTGGAGGCCAGCCTGAATTATACAGCAAGACCCTGTCTCAAAAAACCAAACAAACTATTTGCTCTTTAGATCTAGCAATAAACTGTCACTAGTTACAGCCCTGGCTTTTTTCAGTTACTAAGTTTCTATCTGGATATGAGGACTACAGAGAATTTCAAAAGATAAAATCCAATTCTGAAGACCCCGCCTAACGAGGAAATGTCTGACTATGCAAGGACCCCACAAACTGTGCCCCATCTTTTGAGGGGAGCTGGAGCTGCCACCTCAGCTTTCAGGGCGACTGCAGCTGAGGGAAGCAGAAGGTTGTGGAGGAGGACGGAAGTCAGGAGCGGCCAGGGCAAGCTGTGCCCGTGTGCCAAGTGCAGGACACGTCTGTCGACACACACTGGTCTTCACAGGCGAAAGACACATTTCTATCTGGCCCCACTTTGGAGGGCATGACGAGCCGCGTGGTTAGATGCATGTTCTTTGCAGAGGCCGTGCCGCAGCAGAAGCTGGAGCTGCCCCAACGTGGGCTCTCGACTTGGCTGCTCCACTCGCTTGCTGTGACCTGCAGGGGGGGCAGGAACCTCAAGGTGCTGATGGCTGACTGGGGGTGACAGAGGGTAGCAGTAACAGAGATGGAACCTGTGCCCAACACACACGGTGTAGGCTGCTGAGGGGAAAGAGAGGTGGGAAAGGGCCAGCTCGCTCTTCCTCACGCTCACCCCATGACAGAGACAGCTTTCCGTCCTCATAGGACAAAACTGGAAACTGTCCTTCAAATCTCAAACAGTCTAGACATGAAATATTCTAGAAATTACTGCAAACCAGGGCTTTAGGATCTAAAGCTTTCTAGGAAAGGACAACTGAAATCAACAAAGAAGAATGACAGAGAGGAAACCACCTCAGGGGATCCCAGGGACGGACAGGATGAGGTCAGGACCTGCGGGCACTGCTGAAGCCAAAAGCACCAGTGAGGCTGGAGGCAGCGGACGCAGAGGCAGGAACACTGTGCGTGTTCTTAAGAGAAACCAAACACGAAACAGCATGGTCTTATCAACTGCTGAGTCTCCCCCAACTTTCCCCAGAAATACAATCACTGAAGAGAAAAGGAGAAACGTTTTCAGTTTGTTTTTATGAAATTCCATAAAGTTAGAGTCAAGTATGTAGGAAACTTTCTGTTAAACCGCAGATCTGAGCTGTAATTTTATGAGACACACATTGAAAAAGTTCAGAGCTAAACTTTCTCCAAGTGTTTCAGAGAGAAAGTGTAATGTAACCCCCCAGCCCCCCACAGGGGCTTGGACCCAGGGAGCACTGAGCCACACCCCAGACCTTTTAAAATTTTATTTTCAGACAGGGTCTACGTTGCCCAGGCTTGGCTTGAACTTGGGACCCTGCTGCCTCAGCGTCCTGAGAGTTGGGATTAGAGGCATCATCACCACGCCCAGTTGTGCACACTTTTGATAAGCTACAGGATCAAAGTTTTTTGTGTCCTTGAATTTTTAAAGATTTTCAAGAGCAAATGACCTCAGATTTTCAACTTTTCAATGCAACAGACATGCCACAGCTATCAGAATTCCACAGAAACAGTGCATCCATGATAGACAAAGTAAGGACCGCCCACAGAAGTCTGCCTCAAATTCCTAGAAGAAGCTGCAGGGGTGAGGAAACCCAGGAGCTGCAGATGGAAGGCCACCCTGGGTTTCAAAGTGGGCCTAATCTGGTTTTCCAAGTCCTTAACACTGGAGAACTTTTCTCTGATGGGGTCAGAGAGACACCACGCTGCTCGATTTGAAGAGAGGGGCTCACAGCTTTTGCAAGCTGGAAAGGAAGGGAAGTGGGCTCTTCCCCAGAGCCTGCAGCAAGGCCCCACCAACACCTTGAGTCCTTCCCAGGGAGGCCTGTGTCAGACTCCTGACTTGAGAGCTCAAGATAATAAATTTGTGTTGTTTGAAGCCACAAAATTCATGGTAATTTGTCTCAGGAGCAACAGAAAAATAATAGTTTTTGGTAAAAATGAAAGACTGTCATCTTAAACACTTTCCAATATTTCAAAGGGGAAACAAGAAGCTGAAAGCCTGTAACACACACATTGCATTAGCTGGTGATCTTATGTCCTGAGCATAAGTCAACCTAACACAGAACTCTATGGTTATATTCTCCTAATTATCAGTCAAATTCACCATTTGATGTGGTTTGGATGGTGGTCTCCAGAACCTGCTACTCTGTACTCACAGACTGCAAAGTACTTTGATGATTAAAGCAAAGCAATTTTATCAGAGACCCATGTAGAAAATTCTCAGGAACAAAGTCTGCAAAATACATGTTTAGTCTTGGAAAGAGCATGACTCTTTCAATAAAGTTGGAATTTTTTTTGCATTCAGTATTTAAACTTTACATTCAATGAAACATAAATCACTAAATGTAAACATAAATCACTAGAGCCACTGCTGAAGTGGAACCTTGGTGAGTATTCTTACATTTAAAAATGATACTTTCAATTCTGTCTCTTTGTGACACATTGTGAATTGTTTCCAATTCATGTGGACTTGAACAATAATCCAGAGCTGTCGCCTATGAGTGAGCAAGTTTCTGGCAGAAATCCTCAACAAAGCAAAACACACAGTGCAGATCACTGCCATTGTTTCCAGGCAAGCACTGTTGTGTTTGCAAAGCCAAGGAAGTGCACAGCATCCACTGAGATCTAATTTCCTTGGGATGGCAAGGCTGATTTTTAAAGGTCACTTGGTGAATCAGTCTGTGCCTTTACTTGTTTTTTAGGCTAATCATTGATATAAAACTTCAGATTTCATAAAACATATTTTCCCTTCACTAAAGGTTTTTGAAACCATGCTCCTTTGACACAGTGAAAATATTTCAATTTAATAACTAAATTTCATTTCAGCAATGCTGGAGAGCATAGCTACTGAAGCACAGCCCACTCCAGCAGTGACTGGTTCCTCTGTCTGTCATGTCCTGTGACAGAGGGAGGCCTTGAGCCCTCTGAGTCTACCCAGGAAGAGGGCTGTTTAGGTAACTCAGGGTTACCCTAAGACTTTGCACTGGAAAAGCCTGCTGCTATTTCTGTTCACTTCTCACACTGAGGGTGCTTAGTAAAGTATCACAGCACTTGGCAAAAACACCCTGGGCTGAATCAGCAGATATAATGCAAAGTCCCATATTTGCTGTTTGTCCACAGGCTCTGGAGACATGTTTGGTTAACACAGAAACAAGAAACAACAATTTAATGCACGACTAAATTTGTCTATATGCGGAGGTAACCTTAAATATCTTTGGTTTTCTTTTTTAATTTGCTGATATAAAGTACTTCAATAAAAACACTGATAAATACCAATATAACTGTATTGCTTTTAATTATGTAAACTTAGCCCTCTGATATCTTTTACTACTAAAGCTAGATTCCCTATCCACTCTAAATAAATTTATTTCAAATCTGCTCATCTTTACTTATTATAGGCTAAACTATATATTTTAATGGTCTTTGGTATGAAAATACTGATGAGCAGTATCTTGTTACATTTGGCATAAAAATGACATGCATGTATCAGTACTTACAGCAAATAAATCTTTGGAAAGGAAAATAGTTACCATTTGCATATATGCCCCTTTGGAGTTGAAATGCTGTGAAGTCACACTGTGAGACGAGTGATCAACTTCACATTTTAGTCACAGTTTCATGCTTCACACTTCAAAGGAGCTTGCTGTGTCCAAGTAAAAAGAAGTCTCTGCTGTACATTATTCAATGAGACCAAAATATTTTTAATGAAAAGATTTTTTTCTCTCCAACAAGTAGTTTCAACAATTTAAAAATACTTTAATACTGTGTAGTTGAAGATTTACTTGCTGAAGAAAAGCATATACTTGAAATTCTTTAAAACTATCTGCTGGTAAAGAAAGTTATTACAATTTATTTTAAATGCTCTGGTAATGAGAAGGTAGTCAATATTACTAGCCTACTTAACTACAACAACCAATAAAAACCCTATTGCTTTGGGTTAGTAACTACTTGTATACACTTCGTATCTATAGATGTTTCTAGTTAATTCAATTTGGGGAATTACAATCAAAACTTCACTTTCTACTGAAAATTCTTTGGTAAAAGGATTATTATGAAAAAGTCTGTATAAAACAAAATGAAAACGTAAAAATGTACTGGTAAGTAGTTAGCAAATAGTTATAGCCTAGAGATCTATCATAACTAAGGGCCTCCTCATCAGTAACCAGTTTCTTTCTCCAGATGTCTCCCAGGCAGTGAGGACGGTGCGAGCTCATACGCCCCAGACACATCTTCAGTCACTGCAACGGGCGCTTCCTGGTAGGTGCTGTTTGTCTTTTCAGTTTAAAAATAAAACGATCTTGTTGTACTGTCTGATTCTGGATACTGATGAAGCTGGCCCCACATATTTCTACTTACGAACCCCAAACGCCATACCCTGTCAATCTGCCCACGCTTCCACGAGGCAGCTCAAAAGTAACAAAACGCTCCCTGAGTACAGGAAAATAACACTAGCACAAGGTTAAAAGAGGTAGTATAAAACAGGAGCCACTACATGAGGAGCACGCTCATGTGCCCAGACTGTTCACCACAAACTCTGCTTTTCCACTTCACCATGACGCTGTCCTGCTGTGGTGACTGAATGGGCGTGGATGCCACTTCACAAGGGCTGCGCGCTTCATGCTGGTGTGCTTCTCCACACACCCAGTTTGGCACAAAACTACAGCTTTAAAACATGATTAAAATGCTACATCATCAGTCATCAGGGTAGGAATTGACACTGGGACTATCATCCAGCAAAATTCTCTTGATTTTAGAACACCACTTAACATGACCCTGCCCCATCCATAAATACAAGGTTTCTAGGGGAAACCCATTAAGATTCCTTTTAAGTGAGGCTCCAAAGTCATTTCCAGAAAATCTGAAAGAGTACTTTTAAAAGGCTGGGCCTCCTGTCTGTTCTGTGTCACATGCTCAATTCCCCATCCCCTCCCATGGCTCCACACCAGGGAACTGTTCCACAACTGCAAGAAGCCCACACTGAGTGGCTGAGTGAATAATCTGCTGGCTTCAAAGCAGCAAGAGGGCTAACTTACTTCTAGAGCTAGTGCTCCTGGTTCACAGCACTGATTACATCAAGAGAACCAAACTCTCTTAAGAATTCAAGAAAATACAACAAATAGATGGTACAGCTCTGAATACCCCTCAACAAAACCTGCATTTAAAAAGAAAAGCTTTGGTAAGATATTGTACTTAAAAAGAGCTACTGATAATAGCCAAGAAATTCTTAAGGCAACTTTTTGTAATCCTGTCCCAAACAACTTCATGAATATTAAACAGGTCTAAGGCAAAATGTTTCATAATATATACTGGAAGGCACTGTTAACCATGATAACCTCAAGTCCATTTTACTGTCTACTGTTGCATTTATCTTCATTCTTTTTGGGTTTTTTTGGTACCGGGGATCGAACTCGGGTCCTTGTGCTTGCGCAACAGGCGGCGAAACCACTGAGCTAAATCCCCGGCCCCTATCTTCAATCTTAATATTTCATGCAATTTATTCACCCCTTTAAGCCAAACTGGGATAAAGAAAACAGAAAATCCTAACCATTTTCTTAAAAAACCTATTCTCTGTATGGGTCTTGCAACTAACAATGGAGGAGCTGAGGACCAGGTGAGTGGAGGCAGAAGGCACCAGGTCACGGAGGCAGAGTCCCGCTTGGAGCAGCCTCAAGCGCTTACTGTGCACATGCTACTAAGCAGCTCTGCTCTCCAGAGAGATACACTTGTTTTGGATGTTCATGAAAATCAATAGTCCCACATTTTCTTTCACAGGCCACACAGCCAGAGGTGTTAAATTACCCAAATGACAGTGGCATCAATTTTTTAAAAAACCAGAGCTTCAGGTAAACGTTCTTGCTCATCTACCTGTGGGACTCCTTCGATCACACACACCACACACAGCAAAGGAAACAAAACACTATAGGAAGTATCATTGGCTGTGTCGCTGAGACACTCTACACTACAGGAGGTAAGGAAGTTCTCTTCAGAGTTTGCCGCCTGGCAGACTGAGGTAGATATTCAGCAAAGGGGCTTTCCAGTCTCCCTCTGCTCCAGTGATGTATCTGTAACACAGTCAAATATCTTGACTGCCCTTTCACATTGCTAACAATGAAACATTCAAAACAGTGAGTTTAAGGGAAAAAAACCACATTCAAAAAAGGCTGAGATACCCGACAGGACACCAGGATTTTCACAGAAGGCTTGGGCGGCTGCTCATTGTCCTTTGAGCAGACCGGGGTGTGGCCTGCATGGCCACACTGTAGTCACAGCCTGGCCCGGCCCGCGGGACCCTCGTCTTGACCGGGAACATGATTGCCTGCCACCTCCCCGCCGGCCAGGGAGCTGGAGCTTGGGGGTGAGCTGCTCAGGGCAGCTGACAGGCGCAGCTCGGCGCTGGACTCGTGGGAGAACCGCCCCGAGTCACCGGTGTCCTGGCTGCCCTCGCTCTGTGTTGAGTGCTCCGTGTCCACTGCCGCACCCAGGAAGGCGGTGGCTGGGTCCAGGGAGCTAGGCGAGTCCTGGCTGCTGACCAGCACAGTGGTGCCTGGCTGGTAGAAGTGAGTGGCTGGAGGAAACCTTCTCTGAGGCTAGACAAGAACAGAGAAGGCAGCACTGAGATGCCAGCTGCCCAGGACACTGGTCCTCACCTGCTCCCCACTGCCCAGCCCCCTGACACCATTTCCGGCCCTTCTGCAACTTCCTTTCCACCACAGCAGCAGGTCCTGCAAAGTCAGCCTGCAGTGGTGGACCCTCTGTCTGCATGGCACACCTGCCTCTCAGGCACACCCCCCTCTAAGGCACACCCGCCTCTACAGACCTCAGCCTACACCATGGACCCAGGGCCTTCACTCCTGTGGGGGGTTACCTGCTCAGCTCTCATCCTCTTAGCGTCTTGGAAAAATAACCATTTCTTCTTAGAGTTGTTTTTAATTACAGGACCATAGCTATTAATTATCAGGTCAGATCCTCCCTGGGGAAATAAAAGGGAAAAGTAAATACGGTATCAGAGATTTCAGTTTATCACAAGTAGTACACAAAATTTTTAAATGTGAAAAGAAAAAATGATCACAGAAACTGCTATTATCTTTCTCTTTGTTGTGTGTGTGTGTGTGTGTGTGTGTGTGTTTAACCTGGGATTGCACCAGGGCCTTATACATGCTGGGTAAGTTCTCTACCACTGAGCTACATACACAGCCCCACCCTTTCTCTGTTTATTTTATTTTATTTATTCAGGTACTGGGGATCGAACTTGGGACCTTGCGCTTTCGAGGCACGTGGCTGGAACCACTGAGCTAAATCCCCGGCCCTGTTTATTTTATTTTTTGAGACAGGGTCTCACTGCATAGCCCAGGCTGGCCCCGAACTCACAGTGATCCTGCTGTCTCAGGTTCCTGAGTGCTGGGATTACAGGTATGTGCCACCACACTTGGCCCTTTTTTCGATTTTATTTTACTAAATTTCCCAGGCAGGCTTCAAACTTGTGATCGTCCTGCATCAGCTTCCTGGGTAGCTGGAATGGCAAGTGTGTGCCACCATGCCCAGTGGCCACTGCTTCTTTTACACAAGCAACATAGAGCATTTCAGGGTATTTGTTAGTGATCACAAAGATAGAGCAGGTCTATTCTTAATATATATTATCATATAAACTATATTCTAAACAGATTTACATATAAAACATATTCACACTGAAGCATTTGGGGTAAAGTGTAATGATTCCAAAACTAATCTTCAAATGATATAGCAAGAAAAAGAATATATAAATAAGAAATTATGAGATGATATTAAGCATATTTGTGTATTCTTTGCATTACTCTTTCAACCTTTTCGTATGACTGAAAGTTTAAAAAAGCAACTGGGGAGAGAAAAACATGCCAGGCCACACACTCAACCAAATGGTGAGCCCCAAGGAGTTGGCTCCTAAGCCAACCAGGGAGCTGTGAAGTTGCCAGTGCTTTTCCTCGCCAGACCCCGCTATTCCTGTCCCCTGCACTTAAACCCGCCCCTTCCTCCCCACTTGGCACTCCTCATCCTTCTCACATTTGCTTTCCAACTAGTAATAACAGCCATGTAGATCTTAATGTGATTTATACTTCTTTACAAGTTTTAGATCAATCTGAAGTAAGCAGAAAGGTTTAATTCACACTAGAATGTGTAAAAGGGGCAGATAAGATATTATTGGCAGCATAAATCAACATTATTTATTCTGGGGCTGGGGACCCAGCTCAGTGGTGTTGCACCTGCCTGGCAAGCGAAGATCCTAAGTTGGATCCCTGGTACCGAAAAATAAAACATTATTTATTCCTGATGTACACAGATAGCACTGTGCTAGACACAAGTAGAATGCATCTGTTAAATATAATTTTATAAAATTCAATATAAAAATTGAGTAAAATTTTAAATAGTCCTGTTATTCTAAATTTTAAGAAATGATTGGAGAATTTGTTTTATTTTCTCTCCATTAATTTTATTAGTATATTTTAGGTATATGATATGCTGACATGCATCATTGAGAGTTTGCACTTATTTTTTCCCTTCAAACTCTCCACCCCTCCCTATTTACAGAAACTTTGTTTCCATTTTTTCCTTTTCTCATATTTCTTCCTATCCCTTCTTTTCTTTTCCCGACCCCTCCCACTTGGAGAACAACAATTTATAGCAGGGTCGGGCAAACTTTCCGTAAAGGGCCATTCTGTAAATATTTTAGGCTTTGCAGGCCACAGGTGGTCTATGCTGCACCCCCTCATCCCCCAAATCTTAAAAATATCAGAAAGCCTTCTCAGTTCAGGCAGGGCCACACAGCAGTGGTGGGCTGGCCAGCGAGTTGCAGTCTAGGGCTGGCCCACAACCGACCTGCGGCAGACAGGTTCTGGAAGCAGTGGTGATGCTGTGCTGTGCCTATGTCACCACATGGCGGGACCGATTTTAAGGTGGTGTCCTCCATGCTGCTGCTATACTCCCCTGCACGCACTGGCCAAGAGCTAGGGTGATGCCCCATGACTTGATTTACTGTTCCAGCTTCCTTAGGCCATACCGGAAGGGTCTTCAGACATCTGGCCAGATGGTCCACAGTTTTACATGTGTTCACACCAGGAGGTTCAGGAGTCTGTCCAGCAGACACAGGGCCATCAAGTTATAGTGCAGACTAACGCCATAATGTCTCAGAGGCACAATCGCATCTAATGGCATCTACGCTTTTTCTACATCTTTTGTTCTCTATTCCTTTGTCTTTTATATATTCCCATCTTCTTTTCCCCAAACATTTTATGTAAGCAAGGATCTGGGTATAATCCTACAAGTCTTTCACTAAGGGGAGTTGCACACAACTTTCAGCACACACTTTCTGGCAAGTTAATCGGACGCAGAAAGGGAAGACACTGGAGGGAAGGCCTGGGCAGTGTGCCGACCTCGCACCCTGTACCTTGGCATCGATGAAGCTGTGTGGCACCATCACTGGCACTGAGGACTCCTGGTTTTCGATGGCTCTGTCCAGCTTCTTCCCCGCCTCATTCACAGGAGTCGGGGAGGCACCAGCGTGGGGCAGCTGCCGACTTCCGTTCTGCGCTGTCTTGCAGGCAGATGATTTCCTGCAAGGTTGGAGGACAAGAATCTTCTCATTTCACAGATGACACAGGCGTTAAGAGCCTTAATATTTACAAGTACTGTAATTGACTATTGTGGCTTATTTATATTTGTACAGAACTGTACTTTTAAAAACTTTGTATTATTTCTCTGCAGTTCTGTAGATTGTGACACTAACCTAGTGATTCACTTGCCAATTGAGGATGGTAAGTTTACAAGAGTACTGCAATTTAGGCATCACTAAAACAATGTCCATAAGGATTTTATTTTTAAAAATTCACAGTGAGAAGCAGGCAATACAAATAAGCCATTTAAAATGCAAAAAGATGTTAGAACTAATTTATTTAATTTATTTTTGGTTTTTTGTGATACAGTCTTGCTAGTTCAGGCTGGCCTTGAACTCAAGGCAGTCCTTCTGCCTCAGCCTCCTGAGTGCTGAGATTATAGGCATATGTCACCCAGCAGAACTAACTCTTTAACCGACAGGTTTTCCAAAAGTGTCTCTATGCATAAGTACCAGAACACTGAAGAGTCTACACCAATTGAGGGAGACCAGTGATGGAGGTTACCTAAAAAAATTTGCTTTAATTTAAAAAGAACCTTAAGAAAATTAAGGAAAGTAACAGCCAAAATATAAAAGGTTAAAAACAGTCAAGCTCACTGAGAGCAAGTTACTAGTGAAAATTAAGCCAAAGTCAGCAGCAGGTGAGCCTGGCAGGGCGCACAGCTGAGCAATCCCTGGTTGTTAGGGGAGTGGAGACGCTTGGCTGGCAGCTCTGTCCCAGTGACCCCGGCTCTCTGGCACTGCTGCATACACAGGAAAGGAACTAGGGGACCTTCATGAGATAAGGTGTTGCTAACAATGACAACTAATCTGGGGAATATACTTTGTATTTCTCAAAATACTAAGGAAACGAGGAAACTGGGTCCTAATTTTGGATTATTTAATAGGCACTATAATTTTTTCGAATGGCAATAAAATAAGCTCCCTACAAAATGAGCACACTTTCACAGCTGTAATAGTGCAGTAACAGTGCACTCAGAGGGGAAAGGCCCCGTTACTCAAACACGCTCAGCCTCACTGTTGGCTGTGGTCACTGTAACTTGGCAGGGAACGCACCTGGCCTTGCTCCGGCATATCAGGATGAGAACACAGACCAGGATGCAGGTCAAGGCAATGCCTACGCCCACTGTGATGCCCGTCATCGACTTCCGGTCCAGATGGTAATACCCTGAGTACACTGCAGGGGCACACATACTCGCATCAGTCAGAGGAAGAGTCTCCTGTCAGAATTCTCAGGTATTCGCTTTCCTATAATTTTTCTTCATCTCATAAGAAAAGTTTTGATGTTATTTATATCTAAACAATAGCATGAATTAATCTTAGCGCATCAATTTCAGAGATCTTTTATCTTCCAGTATTCAAGTTTTAGATCATATTATACCAAAGAGGAACATAAACTCATAATTTACACTACTAATGGCACAAAATATATTCTCTGTGAGTGCATGGTTTGGGAGACTGAACCTAGGGGTGCATGCTAGGCAAACACTCTACCACTGAGATTCATCTGCACCCCTTTACTTAAAAATGTTTTTAAAATATTTTGAGATCAGGTCTCACTAAGCTACAGAAGCTGGCTTCCAAGTCAGGATCCTCCTGCCTCAGCCTCCTGAACAGCTGGGATTACAGGTGTGTCCACCACCTGGCCACAGGTGCTCTCTGATGTATTGAAGAAAAGCTTTCCTGTCATGTTACCTTAAAAGCAGATCTGGATGTTGAATGTTAGTTCATGCTGACATCCATTAGGACAGTGCTTCTAAATTGTAACGTGTGTCAGAGTCAGGAGCAGACAGGTCTGTTACTGAGTCCCTAGGTCTGGGCTGGGCTCTGTGCCCATGATGCTGCTCTCTGACCCTTTCAGCAGCTGTCCTGAGAAGCAGCTGTGATGTGTTCCTCTTCCCTGATGATGTGGAGGGAACTGTGTTCACCTCTTTCCTGGCCTTAAATCTGACTGCAGATCTCCTCTCCTTATGTGCGTGCCTACACATGTGCGCACACACACACACACACACACACACACACACACACACACAGACACACACACACACACCCTGAACAGGAGGTAGCTGGTCCCCAAGCTCAAGACAGACCACAACTGCACAGCTGAAAGGAGTGGCCTTTAAGGATGCATTTTCTGCTTGCTTTTCTGCAGAGAAGCTGCTCCCTTCCCAGAAAGGCTGTTTCCTGTTTTTCTGGACTCATAATAGGAACCAGCCTCTCCTCAGCCAGAGCACCAGAGCCCCTGTGGTGCTGTTGCAGCCTCCAAGAAGTGTGGAGGCAGTTCACACATGTGTAGATATGCATGTGTGTGGGCGCGCATGTGCACACAGCTCTTCTGTCCTGCAGGCTGCTCAGCTAGGAAAAGAAGTCATGGGGGCGCAGTAGTCTGAAATCTGCCATGAATCCTGAGGTGGATCTGCTTCCTTCTAGGGTTACAGAGAAGAGCCGTGGCGCCAGAGCATCAGAACCTCACAGCACCAACCTAACACACAAGCACATACATGTATGTTTCAGGCCCTGACAGCAGTAGAAGCTGAAATAAAGCATAATGACCTGATAATTATTTTCCTTAAGAAGAATCAGTGACTGGTGGTTTACACACCTCTGGCATCAGCAGCATCCAAACGCTTGGGCCTCTGATTTGATCCCGAAGGGTCCTTTGGAAGCACTGTCAGCTCCACAGAGTTGGAAAAGGGCCCTTCTCCCACCTCGTTGGATGCAGAGATCTTGACAATGTACACATCTCCCACCACCAGGTTTTCTAGCAAAGCCATGGTGATTGCCCCTAGAGATACATCAATGACAAGTTTAGGAAGCTGCTACCATCACACAAACATGGCCCTTTACTCTAAAAATACTTTTCTGACTCTGAAGGTGATACTTCCACTGTACAACATTTAGAAAATAAAGATAAATATGAAGTCATGATTCCTCACTGATGGCATTTTAATGTACTGGTGTGTATGCACAAGCACATGCACTGACTGTGTGCATTTTTCTGTCTCAGTTTGCACTTAACGCTGCACTATGCACATTCCCACAGACCCTTCTCTAAATTACTGTAGGAGTCTTTAAAAAGCAGCACACATTTTTGATTGTAGATATAGAGATATATGTGGTATATATATGTCATATATAAATGGCATGAAGGACATTTAATTATGGAATAGTTCAAGCATATGCACACAAAGACAGAATGGTATGCGGAATGAACCTAGATTAACAATTAGATTTCAGACTTTTAAAACCCAGTGTGAGTCTTTCTTTTTCCCTTACTGGAAGTGTTTGATCCACTATGGTAATAGCTATGGCAGATGATCTTGTTCCTCCTTCTGAAATTAGAAACAACACAATTCCTTCTGAAAGAATGACTATGTCTTTCATAGGGTTATATCTCACAATTTCTCGAAAGTAAACAGGAAAGCAAATGCAAAGTTCCACTGGAACTCAGAATGCTGGAGAGATCTCAGGTCAGCCATCGGAAGGACCACAGCCACCTGCCTCACACGCTCTGAATTTATGCAGCATATTCAGCATCTGAGGGCGAGCGTGCGGAGGGCTCCTGCACAGAGCTTGCTGTTGTCTCCTTCTGTGGCTGCACCTCGGAGTTAATCCTGATGTCCAGCAGCTCAGACAGAGCCAGTCTAGCACTGCCCGTGTAGCCCACGCCAAGGCTGGGGCACATCCCACTGGGCGCTCCCTCACTATGCAAGGATGAGTGGGTGACCTTGGAACGGAGGTCAGGAGATGAGGCAACTTGTTTTTATGTTCTCTGGTTTCAACTTGGCCGAAGAGTGCAAGGCATCTGAGTAACAACTGTGAGAGGAGCAAACTGACCCCCGTTAGAACCACAAAGCTCCCTCACCTATTGCCACCAGGCTCTGGGCAGATGTACTGAAAACAGAGATGCATGTGACACATTACAACTCACTAGGAGGGTCGTTCTGGTTTTTTCACAAATAGAGATATAAGTAAAGTTTCTATTTCATCACAGAATACATGACTTAAAAATCGCTTGGCAAATCTCAGTTACTACCAGGATCGGAAAGTCTCATCAAATTTTATAAGTGGGTCAGCGGTGTGTGTACACTCACTTTTGTCCACAGTGTCTTCATGCAGACAAAAGGAAACTAACATCCTGGTTCACCTGAGCACATGCAAGGCATTTTCCACATCCTCCAGGTGTCTGAGAGCCCTGCACCCTAAGTCAGCATCCCAGCCTTGGCAGGCGGTTAGGTGTCTACTGACTTTCTGCACATCCGAGTTTTCAGCTAGACTTGGGCTTTCCCAGCAAGACAGGGCAGTAGTCTCCAGGCTGCACCAACAAGCACCCAGCCTCGGTGGGCTTCCAGGTGAGCACTTGTGCTGTGGGGCATGTGGCTGGCTGTGCTTTCTTCCTGGGACGATGGTTCACCGCTGCTACCATCCTCAGGAGGAATAAACTACCAGCTGCCAGTGCCTGAGCGAGTGTTCGTACTCTGTAAGAGCAGCTTTCTCTTACCAGACTCTCCCTCTTCCCCTCCTGGTGGATACATTTTTCTCCTATTTGAACAGCTGAGGGTGGCTACTGAGTGCTCTGCACAAGATAATTCTCAGTAAATGCACAGGAACACCCATGTGAATATGAGCTACTCATGACCGGAGACCTATGCATCTCAAATGATGAGCTCAGGGCCTGGGGGTCGAGGCCCTGGGTCCCTGTCCCGTGTGGGCCGTGGGCATGTGGCTAGGGATCTGGGCTGGACACAGCCTCACCTTTCTCTCTTCTGTCCTCTTCTTCATGAAACAAGGAGGTGGCAAAAGACCTGGGGAGAATGAACTTTGAGCGCTCCATACAGGCTTGCTTAGGCTTAGGTTGTGTTTTCTAAGGGTCAGGTATCATATTGTTTTCCCAGAGAGGCTTCCAGCAGGAGTCTGAATAGTCAGGTGAGGATGAGCAGAACCCTGTGGGGAGCTGAGAGGATTTCTCAGTGATGCCGGCTGGTGGGAGAGGAGTGTTGGGGGTTCTGCAGATGGATAGGGAGCCAGGGAAGGGCCAGGTCACAGGCGGGGCTGGTGACTCAGTAGAGGACCCCATGGCCAAGGCCAGGGCTCAGAGGCAACAAACTACAGCTGCACTGGATGGGTGAGAATTTCTTGCCCAGAAACATGGTAAAAACAAGGAGGTAGAGAACCAGAACCACCAAACCTCCATTTATACCCCGCTGAAGAGTGCCTCTGTTCTGCTAATTTCGGAAAAGTTACAATCAATGGTGCTTGCAAAAGTATGCTTGCTATGCCACTGAGTTCCTACAGGCACACTTCTGCGTCTAACTTCCTTGCTTGTGACCCCAGAGGCTGACCTCACCTTGGCTGAGATACAGCCACTTTTGTGTATAAAACCCCTAGACAAAGAGTTCCTGTTGCAACCTGCAGGCACCTCCCGGGTCCAACACCTGGGGGCTCTAATGCCGCTTCCTGCTTTCGCTCTGCACTAAGTGCTGCTCGGCCCTCGGGACTGTTGGGTGACACTGTCTGGACTGAGGAACCTACCAGCAGGACAGCGACACTTCAAGTGACCGTTTTTCAGCTCCACACGCTTAAACATCACTCACACTGAGGACTCAGTTCTCTCTCCAGGCCAAGCCTCTTCCTTGCTTAATCGGCCTCTGTGGCTGTCCAAGGGACATCTCAAATTAACACGTTCCAACTCTTGGTTCCCCCCCTCCAATGTGGCTTCTCTTCCCACAGGCCCTGCCTCCCCACCACTGCTGATCGGCCATGGACTCTGGTCTGCTCTTCCTTCAGGTTACTTCCAGCAGCCTCTTGGGGGGGTTAAGACAGGGTCTCACTCTGTGGTGCAGGCTGGCCTTGAACTCACTGTGCAGCCCAGACTGGCCTGGAATTTGTGCCCGTCCTCCTGCCTCAGCCTCTCGAGTGCTGGGATGACGGGTGTGGGCCACAAGGCCCCATGCTGCAGTCGCTTCCATCACCTTCACCACGATCATCCCTATCCAAACCCTGCCTACTAAATGGCCACTCTTAGTTCCTTATTAGCTTTTCTTCATGTGGCTACAGTTTTTCAAAATGCAAACCTGATCCAAGTCTCTCTTCTAATAAATCCACAGCTCAAACAGTGCGGTTGGTCTGCAGGGTCTGCCCTTGGTTGGCCTCTTCCTTTTCTAAATGCCATTTTTGCTCACTCTCGCCTCCCTGGCTTCCCAGTTCCCCAACACTTCTGCCACAGGGCCCTTGTGCTGCTCATGCAGCTGTGGTCAGCCACCACTTCTCCCAAGAGCACTGACCCCACTGTCTCCACCACTTTCTATCTTTTCCCCATTGTAGCTTTCTTTGTAGAATTTACGCTTTGATTCATGAAAACACTTTGCTTCACTTGGTGCTAAGTACATGAGTTGAATATGTATAGAAATATGTATAAACTTAATATGTGTAAGATTACCAAGTTACATGACTGGGAAACTGACACTCTTCTTTCTTCACCCTTTTCTACACTATCACCTCTCTAAAAGTTCTGATATTTAGGTTTGAAAGACAATTTTAGGGCCGGGGATATAGCTCAGTGGTTCCGCCGCCTGCCTTGCAAGCGCAAGGTCCCAAGTTCGATCTCCGGTACCAAAAAAAAAAAAAGACAATTTTACATTTTATTCTTTCTTTAAATATCGTGTTGTATTCTTTGCTTTTTGATTAAATGTGGGTAAGTCAACTCAATATTTTCCCCTTTCAAAAACATGCTCAATTGGTTTCACTTGTATTGTTTACCTGTGCTCTCTGTATCACTAGGGTTAGCTACATTCAACAAAGGACAGAAGCTTTTTGCTGATCAACTGCGCCCAGCAGCACTAACTGCATTCTGTTGTGCACTTAACTTCAGCGTGGCTCTCATGGCTGTGCAAACTTGTGATGCCACTGAGGTGCCACTGAGGAAAAATGCTGTTTTCTGAGTTCTTTCCAAAATTCATCAATGGATGCCTTTGATAAGAGGCAAAACAAAATCTTGTTTCTTTTTAGGCAGATACAAATGAGGGAGAGTCTCAAGGATGTATGCTCACATAATCAAAATTCCTTATTAATATTTAGGACAGCTCATTACATCAAGCTTGTCATGTGGTCACAGACTGGGTCAATAACCCACTTTGGAAGAAACTTAAATTGAATTACATGTTCTAAAATCATGCTCAGGGCTCCCGGGTCACAGGCTGGTTAGCCGAGACTCAGGCAGAGCGAGGTCGTGGCCATGACTCAACGTTAGCAGGTGCAGCTTGGCCCTGGCTTCTCCTCTCCTTGACTCTGAACCCCTTCTTTGTTGTTTCTAGACTTCTCAGACACTGTCAAAACTGGCATGAAGTCCACACGAGAGAGCACAGGAGAAATGCCCCACTGACGATGACAAAGCTGGAGTGGTAGAAAATCAAGCTGTTATCCCAGCTCTACTGGGGTCTCTGAGACAGCAGCAGACAAAAGACAGGAGCATCAGTGGACAGGTATGCACCATTTTCAAGTCTCTTCAATGATCAAGAAATCATTACTCAATAATAAAAAATAGGAATACACAACTATCAAAACTCCAGCTTGGGCTAGGGATGTAGCTCAGCAGTGCCATGCCCGCCTGGCAAGCACAAGGTCCTGAGTTCAAGCTCCGTACCAAAAAACAACAAAACTCCAGGCTAAAGTTGTCATATTCTTATTTTACAACTGCACGAACAGGGTTTTTGAGACAGGGTCTCATTATGTTGCTCAGGCTGGCCGAGAGCTCACTATGTAGCTCGGGCTGCCTCATTTCCTTTTTGAAATCCTTAAGATTTATTTGTTTGGCAAACAGTTCCTTTCCCAGCATAACGTCTGAATCAAGGAAGTACGAAAATATGAAGTTGTACTATTTAAGGAATGATCATCTAAATCTGCTATATGGAACCTGTCCAAATGATAGATTTAAGATTTTTAAAAGGATATAGTGATAAACGCGTGCAGTAAGAATGCTAAGAGTTTGGAGATTTAGTTTTTCTCAGCTAAAAATTAACCAGTGTTTAAAATGTGCAATATGCAGGGCCAGGGATGCAGCTCAGTACTGGAGGGCGCAAGCTTCAGTCCCCAGCCACAGTCCACCAGCCCAGCGTTACTAAGGCCCAGGGAGGACACTGACGTGCAGAGAGCCTGTTCAGCCCTCACTGGCCGGCAGCAACAGGGCTTCCCCTGGCAGCGCCTGCCCCAGGCGGACAGTCCCATCTCTGCCGGGCACTCCCTCCTCCCCTCCAAGGCCCGTGTGCTCCTCCCCCACTTTAGCTGCACCAGGCCTCTCCTGAACCACTGCCACACTCAGTCCCTGTCCTCTCCAGCAAGCCTTTCCCAGGCACCGCAGGAAGAATGATCGTCCTGAAGCAGCCAGTGGCTTCCCAATGCTCTGAGTAAAGCTAAAATCTTTAATAATTCAATACTTCATACACAAAAATATAAATTGAAGCACCGGGATTTAGCTCGGTGGTTCTGCTGTCTGCCTCACAGGCATAAGGTCCCGAGTTTGATCCCCGGTACCCCCCCCAAAAAAAATTACACACACACACACACACACACACACACACACATATAAATTCAAAACTCTAGGTTCCTCTCCCTTCACTTCCTGCACCACTACATTTTGCTTTTAATAACTTCCTCACTCTTGCGAGATGTCTTTACCTTCTCGGTGAAGGACCTGCCATTTGCCTGCAACCCAGGCCTTCCTGGACGCATACAGGATCGTGTATCGTGTGATGACTGTCTCAGGGCCGTCGGGTGGCTTCCAAGAAACCAGGGCGGTGTCGTCCTCTATCAGTGTCACTTTCACTCCAACTGGGGGCCCTGCTGGCGCTGTGTACACACGAGGGACGTACGGCCTCACTAGGATAAATGGTGCAAAAGCATGTGACTCCCTGTGACAGGCTGGCAAGTGTGGAACAGTGAAAAGGTAGACGCCGCTATGAAGAGAGCGAAACATCGCCATTTTTAGATCTTCAAGGTCAATAGTGGTAATACTAAAGTATCATTTCTGCCTCTTTTAAAAAGCAAATGTCACTTCATGTTTAATTTAAAAGATTAAGAAGCAACAACAAAGGGCTGGGCACAGCGGTACATGCCCGTAGTTTCACTATTGGAGAGGCCAAGGTGGGAGAAGCCCTTGAATTCAGGAGTCGAGGTCAGTCCAGGCCACAAAGCAAGATCCTGTCTCGAAAATAAATACACAGAAGGGAAGGGGAGGTTCCCAGACAGGGAAGAACGAGGACTCCTGAAACAAGTCTGCCAAGCTGCTGAGCAGAACGGTTGACAGCTCCCGCCCAGTATCTGAGCGTCACACAGCAGTATCTGTGCTATTATCCTGAATCTAGACTGTGGTTCTTACCAAAGCTCGAGGACTTTGCTGAAGCAAGGCCCATCTAGGAGGCCTCTGAAGCTGCTTCTGAGACCAAAACATCCAGCTCTTCCACTCAGTGGAGAACCGGTGAGTTTACAGAGCAAGCCGGGACTAGTCATCAGTATTCCTGAAGAGCGACAGGACCTGAAGCTCAGAGACTGTGGCACGGGAGCTGCACATGCGTACAGGCGGCACCAGATCTCCTGCGGGAGCCCTGTGCTTCTCACACTCCCAGCCGGGCTGGGCATCGCTCAAATGCAACAGCAATGCTTCGGAGGTTGAGAGTCCTCACGCTCGCTGCAGACTCAGCTTCTGGCCAGAGCTCAGGGAGCCGTAGCCCTGCCCCAGCACCCCTACCACCCCACCACTGGCCCCTGTGGGCTGCTGGCACTGACCAAGATCAGGACTAGGTGGCTTCCTTTTTCAGTTTTGTGGGTGTGGCCTAGAGCAGCACAACTGACTGAAGAGTATGTGATGCTTCCCTCAAAGGGACACCAACCCTGAGCCCATTTGCTTGCATAATTTTTTAGGAGAAAAGGAAAACATTTCAAAAGTTAAGAAACAAAACACAGAAACGTCAACTGGAAGGGGGGACACAGAGGTATCCTCAACATGTCATGCATCTGAAGCATTTCCTGAAGTTCTATAAAGAGAAAATACACGGGGAGCCACTCTGCTCACCTTCCGGAAGTGTGGCATGGTAGACCACCGGGCTCCAGGGGCTGGAGAGCTGCTCCACATGCAGACGGACAGCAAACTCGTACTTAGTGTTTGGCTCCAGACCTTGAACCAGCATGTGAGTTTCTGATCTACAAGAGAGTACTGGAGCTGTTAAGAGACTGCCAGCATTTTCAACCAACAAGTCAGCCTGATGTAATTCTTCAGCTCCTCATTTTCTTTAAAAACAGCTTTGAGATGACAAGGGAAGCCTAATGTATTACAGCACTACCGGTGATCATCCTACAGAAATAAGACTGCAAGCGTCTGAGAGGAAACCAGAAATAGACATGAGAGAAATGCTGCAATATCATCATTCTTCAAGGCGTCCTAATGGACGCCTTTGTAATTCTGGCCTAGAAAAAAAGAATGACTGCTAGGCTGTTTTCCGATGCCAGCAAGAAAATGGTCTTTTGTTTCTTTCTTTAAACATGCTAAGGTCAGCTACTGAAAATATCTCCTTGCCTAATCTTATTGCATGAGGCTGAGAAAAATTTAAAAATCACATGTACATTAATGTGAAAAAGTGCAGTTCTGAGAACTGAGTGTGATAAAATTATTAGAGGCAAAACTCCTGGCCTCTGAAAGTAACCCAAGGCCTGAATGCACAGCCGAGGCCTGGCCCAGGCCCGGTGGAGGAAGTGTGAGAGGGACTGCAGAGCAAGCGGCGGGCAGCAGCTACATACGTCTGCAGGTACAGCACAAGCGAGGCGTTCTGCAGGCCCACGGGGTTGCAGCGGATGGTGTAGTTGACGGCATGTGCGGCAGTGAACGCAGGCCTCCTCCAGTGCAGGAAGACGCAAGAGGAGCTGTTGGCACTTGCATAGAGATGGTGGGGTGGTGGCGGTGGAGGGACCACGCGGTCACGCACGGCTGTGGAGAAGGAACATCATTTCACATGCGTGACGCGACAGTTAGTGTGCAAAGGAGCAGCATGCTGAGACCCCCACGCTGGCTGTAGGTCTTTCTTCCACCAGAGACGTTCAGTGGGACGGACATTTCTCATCCTCTCAGCTCTGCCCAAGAGTGTGGCGAGGAGTCACAGGCCATCAACACGTAACACAGACAGACAGAGCCAAACTCCTAACAAAGCCATTCGGAAACAGCAGAAGACTCACGTGCAGAACAACATCCCCTTTAGCACCAACAACACGGAAGAGCAGTGGAGAGAAACTACGGCCCCCAGGGTGCAAGCAGACAAGGGAAACTCAGTGTGCGGGTATTCCGTGGTTGCTTTTTCCAGTTAAGATTCGAATGGTCTTTTGCTTGCAAAATTAAAGTAGGTAGTTATAATTTAAAGACCTCCTGTACCTCCTTCTGAGCACCTTCTTGTTCAAGACACCGGAAGGCAGCAGGGAGTAACTAACCCACCCAGGCTTCCAGTAGTCAGACTTGGGGGGGCACGGGCACTCACACACACATCCTGGCGTGCTGACAGTCTGGTCAGCCTGGTAGCCCTCTTCGATGCTACTGTAGGCCAGCAGCCTCACGTGATATTTTCTTCTGGGGTCTAGAAAGAAACCAACAGGTAATCATCAGGGCCAGCGTTCTGGGTGAGAACAGAATTCTGGACAGAGCCTTTCTAGATTCTTGGTTAAAAACTGTGTGTGTGTGTGTGTGTGTGTGTGTGCGCGCGCGCGCGCGCGAGGGGAGGCGACAGGGCACTGAACCCAGGGCCTCTGCCCAGCGCCATATCTCTAACCCTTTTCATTCTGAGACAGGGTCTCCCTAGGTCGTAAGGTGCCCAGGCTGGGCTTGCACTTGCTGTCCTCCTGCTCAGCCTCCTGGAGTGCTGGGATTACAGGTGTGCACCACTACACACAGCCAAAAAAAGCCTTCTCACTGCATAAAAGTTCTAAGTAAAGCGACGTTTTTCTTCTCTGCCCTAGTCGTGCATGACTCCGCATTCACCTTGGTACGACTCTATTGTGCCTGCTCAGCAGCAGAGATGCCGAAGGCAACAGGACCAGCGCCTCCTCCCCACACCCAGGCAACCAGGCCCTGACTGCACAAGCCTCAGCTGGCGCTGCTCACAGAGGTTGTCCCACTGGCCCTCTCGCTAGGCAGTCTCATTGAGGGCAGTGACGGGCTGCTTCTCTTCCGAAGGTAAGGGAAATGACAACCGGTACTCTTCGATCCCTTCAAGACTTTATATGACCTGAAGTCTTACTTCTTCTGGTGCCCTTGGAGTCAGTCTACATTTTAAAGTCAAGGAAAGTAACCAAGAAAGGGGGGTGGAGCTCTCTCCACTGGAGTCCAACAGCTACTGCAGCACTGAAAGAAAGTCTATTCCCCAGCATTTTTTCAGCACTCTGAGGAAATACTGTAAATAGTTACAATCTTAGGTAATTTACTTTAAAAAATATTGAAGGTTAGGGCCAGGGATTTAGGTCAGTGGTTTCACCACCTGCTGCGCAAGCGCAAGGACCCGAATTCGATACCCGGTACCAAAAAAAAAAAAATTGAAGGTTAATAATATAAAAAACATTTAAAGATAACTGCAGCAGGGTGTGGTAACACATGCCTGTAATCCCAGTACTGAGGAGGCTGGAGGCAGGAGGATCGCTGTAAGTTTAAAGCCAGCCTGGACTACATAGTGAGTTCAAGTTTAAAGCCTGCCAGAACTACACAGTGATACCCTGTGTCAAAAAAAAACCCCAAATATAAAAAATAAAGATGACCGTGATGACATTTAACTGTAAAGTACTTTCTTAGAACAAAAGTAAATACTATTCAGAAATACTGTATTTTTCTACTCTACTTTTTTAAATAACATAAAAGCTGGGGACGTAGCTCAGAGGCACTGTTCTGCCTGGCAAGTGCAAGATCCTGAGTTTGATTCCCAGTACAGAAAAACAAAATCCAAAACAATGCAGAAGTAAAGTCAGTATTTTTAAGGAAAAATCATGCTTATTACATCTATCCAGTACAGAAAAAGGACTTGAAATTAAAGCATAAAAACTAAATTAAAAAATAAAGTGTGTGGTTTATGAAATTCTCCAAAACAATTTAAGATTCTGTATAAATATTTTACTTTATGAGACAGGGTCTCACTATGCAGTTCAAGCTGGCCTCAGCCTTCCTAGTGCTGGGATGACAGGCGTGCACCACCACCCCTGGCAAGATTATGTATAAATATTTTAGAAACTGATAAATATATTCTAATATTTAACATTGAAATGAATCAAAAAGATGTCATAAAATACACAATTTCCACTTGTTTTGAGAAAATTAGAACCACAAGAAAAATTCCTACAACTTACAAAACCCCAGTGCTTCTGAGAGAGGAAGGAGGAGCCCTACTGACATGAGCATCTTGCAGAAGTACCCTGGGTATCTCATCTGATGAGGCTGTCACAAGGCGCTCTCAGGCACAGCTTCTGCCTTTCATGAGGTGAGACAGAAAAGCGTGCAGCATTCCCACCTCACAGGACGCCGCGCTGTGAGCTTGGGGCGTTTCTGTGACCACAGCTCCAGCGGCCGGGTTAGCCAGTCCGGGCGCCCTGCCCACGGGCGTCGGTCTGCCTCCTCGGTGACTCCGGCTGGCGCTGTGCTCAGCAGGGAGCAGACAGGGGCTGCACGGCTCGAGGAGTCGCCAACGCTCAGCGCTGAAGTGCTGGCGTTCAGGAGGTTCCGGTCGGATGAGCGCTTCTTTATTAGGGTCTGTTTTCGTCTTTCTTTCCTCCAACACATTGCTGAGCAACCAGTGAACTGAAACCTGGGTTCAACCCCGTGACGCCCCTCGCCGGAACAAAGGGATCCAGTAGGCTCCCTGCATTCCGGTTCCTTACACGGCCCCACCTTGAGAAACATCCGTGTCTACCTGGCCACCGAGGCGTGCGGAGCCCCCGGACGTGCAGCGCCTGGCCAGGGGGAAGACAGGACAGGCGCCCCAGGCACAGTGTTCGGGAAGGCGGCAGCTGGCGCAGACCACGAGCCCCATGCAGGAGCCAGCGTCCCGACGCCAAGTGGGGCCGCCCGGGCGAGGAGCAGCGTCGCCCAAGCTCCTTCCACGGTGCCACCCGCAGCAGGAGACGGGGGGCCAGCAGGCGGGAAACCGGCTGCCCATCCAGAGAGGCACAGGACGCAGGACACGGCCGAGCTGCTCTCCAGGAGAGAACACCCGAGGGCACACTGCGGAAGAAGACTCTCAGGGCAGAGGAACCGCGCCCGCCTGCACGAGGGGGCCTCTCCGCAGGGCCTTCGGGGCGGGGGGCAGCTGGGTCGGGGTGCGGGGCGCACAAGCTGCAGCTCCTCTTGGTTTAGAGTCGCCCCCAAATATCGCACCACAGTGGCTGCTGACGGGACCGGAACAACCTGAACGACTTCGTGCACTCTCCTTAAACGTGAGAGAGGAGCCAGGGACCACAGGCCTCAATGTTAAGCCATCTTAGTGTTTTTTAATTCGTTAATTTTTTGATACATTTTAGGTATCAATATGAGAATCTGTGCCTGTACATGATGTATCTTTTTGTTTGGTTTGGTTTCATACCGGGGATCGGGCTCGGGACCTTGCACTTGGGAGGCAGGCGGTGGCGCCACTGAGCTATATCCCGGCCCTTGTTTCTCATTCTCTCTAAACCTTCTTAATATTAAAATGGGCCCTGTCAGGCAGTGAGTGTAAAGGCAGACACCGGTAATTAACAGAATTAGGGACTCAGAGGAAGAAACAAGAGCATTTAGGACGAGCATATTAAACACAGGTGGATGCACAAGCCTAACCCCAAACCCGCACCAACGCAGCCCTGCTCAGAGTCGGGCCCCACCTCGGGACCTGCTGGGGGTGCTGGATGACTGCAGACGCAGCAGGCGCGCTCTGGGGCGGGAAGCCAGCGGGGAGGCAGCCACCACACGCAGAGTCTCCTCTCTACAGAGGGAGGGACGAGAGGCTGGAGGGCCAGCTGGGCAGCTCTCGGAGCACGCGGCACAAGCGGCGGCCACTCAGTTCTCGGGGTCCAGGGTGCCGGCTCCAACAGGCAGGCTTTGGTTTCGAGATTGGGCAGCGTACGGAGATAAAGGGCCCGGAAGTCCCTCTCACAGACGTGAGGCCGCTCTGAAGGCTTGGGCACGCGGCCTCCCAGCTCCGCAGCGCTGCAGGGCATGAGTGTGGCTGAGGCTTCTCCGTCGGGCAAAGTGCTCTCCCCTGGCGCAGCCTGAGCCAGGTCCTGCATCCCCTCCCCGGGCGCAACGACGGCCCCGCTCTCCTACCTGAGCTCCTTACCCCCAGCTCCTGCACCCAGTTATAGTCACGGGACAGTCAGAACGGACAGGGTCCCCAAGACCACACTTAGCAGATAGCTGCCAAAGTCTGGTCCTGTAAGAGAGCGGTGGGAGCGGAAAGACAGGACCCCTGCTCCAGATTCCAGTCCACCAAAGGAGCCTGACTGACACACGAGCATGCTGCCTGCGAGTACATTTACCAATCACATAAACTTGAGCAAGTTTCTCACCCCTCTGAGCCTCATTTATTTGACATGGAAGATGGAGATGTCTAGGCCCTCCCCTGCTGGGATTTTAAGTGTAAATGAAATACTGCCTATTAAATACTTCGTACAGAACGATGGTAGTACAGTTCTTATGTGAGAGTCAGGTTGTCTAGGAGGACAAAAAAGGTGGCACCAGAAATATGGTATCCTTAACAAATTTGAGAACCAATACCAAAGACATTCGTGCAAATAAGATCCAGAATCCAGGTATCAATAAATTATCCATTAGCAAACACTGAGCTGATGCCACTTGCCGTCCTCACAGGAGGTTCCTGAGTCTGTGTCCGATTTACATGTGTGACTGAGGGCTCCACTCTCTGTTCATGGCCAGGAGGGTGCTCACTGCTTTGGAACCACATCCTGGAGCTCCTAACTCCTTTCCAGGGCATATCCACCTTTCCCTGCGATGTCCACATTAATCTAATAATTAACCTCACATCTGCTAACAGAGAAACATCCCTGACGATAAATGCCTTGAAAACAACAAATTCCCTCTCTAGTAGAAGAACAATAAATTGTTTCATTAAAGCAAAATACAGAAGAGTTTGAGGGCAAGCAGATGGACACGGAAATTAATTCAATCTGTTGATTACATCCCGTTTTTACGATTAGGTGCTTATTACCCGCAGTAACTACAACTCTGATCAATAAAAATGAAGGTGAATGAGATTTCTGTAATACCAAAATCTTTCGAGCACATGTGGTGGCACACACCTGTGATCCCAGCATTCCAGGAAGCTGAGGCAGGAGGATCACAAGTTCAAGGCCAGCCAGGGCAGCTTAGTGAGACTGACTCAAAACGAAAGGCTTTAAACAGGGCTGGGGATGTGGCCAGTGCCACCACAACCACCACCACAAAAGGCTGACTCACCAAGAACCCGCCTAGTTCCATTCCAACTGCACACTATTTAACAGCAGCAGCACAACCGCATCTTTAAGCAGCTTCTGAAGTTACTAACACAGGCGGTTGTAATACGCCCACTCTTCACCGCAACCTGTGCCTGAAGACAACGCAACAAACCCACGCCTTCCACCGCTTTTTCTTTAAACCCGCATCTCTCTTCTCTGGCACCAGATGGCGCTCATGTCGAAGCGCCCCGACCCTGTGCTCCAGCGGCTGGGCTGTGGGAGGCCGCACACACGGAGCCAGGGTGAGCATAAAACAGTGCTGGCTTGGACTGCTGTTGTCATCCATGCATTTCAGACAAACTTCAAAACCCGCATCAGGCGTTGCTGTTGCCACTGTCCTCTGCAGAGGATGTGGAGAACTTTCCTGATGGTTCTGCACAAAGAAGCCATGGGGCTGTGTGGCCCTGTGGTTAGAGCTCGGCCACGTGCACAGAGGGACCGGGCTTCACTCTGCTTTCCTTACTGTGTGATGCGGCAGGGCAGCTTCATCTCTGTACCTCAGCTATGCTCTCTAGACTGAGTGTGGTGGGAACACTGGCGTCCACCTCAGGAGGCTGCGGGAAGAGGAACCCGTGAACATCAGTCCAGGTGTGGGCGTTCCTCGGGCAGGATCCGCGTGCAGTGTGATCTGACACACTGATGGACAGACAGTGGGCGTGCGGTAAGGAACAACACTGAGACTGGGCTGCGTGTCCCAAGCCCACCTCTGCG